TACTAACTAAGCACTTATGTACTAACTAAGCACTTATGTACTAACTAAGCACTCATATACTAACTAAGCACTTATATACTAACTAAGCACTTATGTACTAACTAAGCACTCATATACTAACTAAGCACTTATATGTTAACTAAGCACTAATATACTAACCAAGCACTTATGTACTAACTAAGCACTCATATACTAACTAAGCACTTACATACTAATGGCGCATTTCCACTACAGTGCGGAGCGCGGTTTAAGCGGGCCAACAACCAGGCTGAGTCGGGCTGAGTATGCTAAACTAGAGAGAGAATCGCTGGCAAGGGGGCTACAACTACAACAAAATGAACATATTTTACCGTGATTTAATTGTAATACACGTTTCAAAATGATGCCGAAGTAACAACATACTGATACCGGATAGTAAAAACCATGAATTAAGGCTTTGACAAGTCTGCAGACAGACGGCAGGCGAAACACCTTTTATCATGGTTTTTACTATCCGGTATCAGTATGTTGTTACTTCGGCATCATTTNTGCAAAAGTAGAGCAATGTTCTATTTTTGCCGCCTCGATGGAGGCGTCAGCCAATCAAATCCCGTTTATGCAAATCTGACAGTACAAGCGCTAGCCAATCAAACCGCGTGCCGCAGTTCATTTCCTCATATTCCAAACGAGAAATTACGGTAGCAAATCACCCGGTTCTTTACGACCAGAACTATTTACCGGGACACAAACCGGAGGAACCAGGCATGGAGGGAGGTGGCAGAGACAGTGGGTGAAACTGGTAGGTTTTCGCCTGTTGTATCCAGTTTACTTCGTTTTAACATTGCTATTGCTTTGTATGTCGGGGCGGGAGATTCATGTGATTGGTTGTTGGTCGCAAAAAATCCCCAAGCTTTCAGACACGCCCACCTCCAAGATTTTCAAGATCTTTTCCAAGCTGCTGTGTGGACGGGCCGTAACACTAATTATTACAATAATAAATATACATATAGATATTCTGTACATATTTAATGTTTCAGTAAAAGCAATTTGTCCTATTCTTATTGTATTTCCTTTTTACTTAAGATATTCTGTTAACTAATATTTTGTGCTGTCATTTTAACAACGCAGCAAATATTTATATATATTTTTTAATATTTATATCTTATATTATCATGTTGTATTTAAATGTTGTATTCTCTTTTCCCTGTTTTGTAAAGCTCTTCATGGTGCAGTTATTGTATTAAAAACACTATAACAAAATACTGTACTGTATTTCTGAGAAACATCCTTATTGTTTATTATTATGGCGCGTTGGGGCCTTAAAGAAGGAGAGTAGAGGGTTAATAATGCAAGAAAAACTGATTTCAATTGTGGTTTTGGGGGGAAGAAAGAGGTAAATGTTGTTAGAATAAATCATGTAACCTTACTTGGCAATAAACCTGATTCTGATGTAGGAGATTAAAAACATGTAGCCACACTTCTGCATATTATTTCCATAACCTTTCCACCTCTACATGGAATAATAGCGCGCTATCTATATTCATTACCCGCACATTTCCCCTGTGGTGTGTGGAGGCCTCCCACACACTGCCATTGACTGATGATGACTAGAAACAGAAAAAACAAGAGGCCCTTATAATATAATTAGGACAGATCTCAGAGCAACACAACCTCAGCAAAGCTCTGGGGACGACCAGGTTGAGTGTTTCCGTCTCATTTTACCTCACGCAGAGAATTAACTGGCAGAGGACGTAGAGGAGCAAATGGCTACAACAGATAAGCAGAAACAAAAATGCTGGAAATGTTTCTGATGCAGAGTTAATGCCGGTTGTAAAATGAAGTGTGTTCAACCTGGAAAACACACACTCACACACAAACAGCTGAGGGCTGCATTACACGGGGGTTTAATAAGAGGAGCGTTGGGTGGTGAAACCCAGCATGCATTATGAAAAGGATTAATAGTGCAACATTAGGAGAGAGTGGGGAAGTTAGGGAGTCTTGGTGTGAAGTATTACTTGACTTATATTACGATTTTATCCAACTATGATGCAAAAAAAATAAAAAGTTGTTGTGCCTCATAGCTTTATGTAGGAAAAAGTGTTTGGATCATGCTTGGGCCAGTGGCTTAATCATCTTTTTTTAGACTTTTATACAATAAAATAAAAATATGAATAAAAAATACAAATAAATAAATAATGTAAAATCATACAAATGTAATTGTTATAAATAGTAAGAATAACACATTTATTTTTATTTTATTTTGGATAAAAATATATCTTTGAAGCATTGAAAAGTTTTAGTATCATTACATTACATTTCATTTAGCTGACGCTTTTATCGAAAGCAACTTACAATAAGTGCATTCGACCAAGAAGATACAAACTTGAAGAAAACAGAATCATATAAGTACATCAGGTTTCATAGAACTAAAACATTTCAAGTGCTACTCAACTGGCTTTAGATAAGCCAGTCCTTTGTTAGTACCGTATATAAGTGCTCTGTTATGGTGCATTTCCATTGCAGGGCCTCGCACGGCTTAGTACGGTATAGTTAGGCCTTGGTAGGCCAGGCTCACTTTATGCTGCGTTTCCATTACATTTGAGTGGGGTAGTAACTATAGTAACGCANGCACGCGGTTTGATTGGCTAGCGCTTGTACTGTCAGATTTGCATAAACGGGATTTGATTGGCTGACGCTTCCACCTCAGCTTCAGAAGTTGAACATTGCTCAACTTTTGAATCCTGGAAATCCTGGAAATCCTGGAAATCTTCGCTTTGCTTCCCCACAATGCAGTTTGGCGAAAAGTGAGGCAAAATGATGTCACAAATGGGNCCCTCTGCTACCCCTACACCAACCATGCCCCTCCACAACCTGCTCCTCTCACCTATAACACAGCATCCCACATGTCTTCGCTTCAGCCGCACCAAACCTTTCCTACACACTATCAGGTATGAGGTATCCTGCCTCCATCACTCAATTCCCATGTCTCATACACCTTATTACTGCGCGCACCAGGCTTGCGGCACACCACTTCTTTCCTAACTCTTATCACACTCTCCCTTCTCCTTCTCACACATACACAAACAACTCCCACTACACCTCAGTCACACCAACGCACGACATCACACAGAAACCATCATACACAACACACCCCACACACACACCACACACCACACCACACACAACACCACACACAACACACCACACCACCAACCACACACACACACACCCACCACCACACTATACACTTCTCCACCTCATTCGTGTTTCTCATTTACTCGTTCGAGTCTCTCGCGCCGCCCCCTTCAATCTTGTAGGCTACTCACCTTCGTTTCTTGTAGCCCCTCGAAAGAGTTTGAGGCTTGATCCCGCTCGGCTGAACGTGAGTTGTTTGGCTTTCCCTTGCTCCGCGGCAGCCAGAAAGCCATTTTCGAATGCTTGAATGAATCAAAGTGGGTTGTCACCGTCGATTTTCTCTAAGACTTATGCTCCAACACACAGTTGCACGGGGTGCAGAATAGTTTCCCCCCACTTTTGTGAAAGACATCGGGGTACTGCTTTGCCCGTTCTTTAGCAGAAAAGTTCGTGGGTAAATGAGATGGATCAGATTTGTTCATCTTGGTGTTTTCTCTCTCGTGTGAGTTCCACACGTTCACTCTACGGTGTTGTTTACCTTCTGTGATGCGCGAGCTGATGACGTCGCGTCATCATCGTCACTACTTCACGTCAAGACGAGTTAACTTTTTTTCCCCTCAACTTTGTGTGGAAAAATGCGGGGATTATGCGGCCTTTTGATAAATATGCGGCCTTTTAAAAATCTGCGCCATTTTGATGATTATACGGTAAATTCTGCGATCGCAGAATCGCGTTTTTCTGGACGGTCTAATAAGCTATTTCACCTCATGTGGAAGTGTCAGATGAACATCTACAGAAAGCAACAGCGCTGGCATCAGTCAATCACAACTTCTTTGGTTTGTTGTTGAGGAAGCAATGTTCAAAATATACTGAGGAGTGTGCAAGGTTCAAAGTTTGAAGCAAAAAGAATGGCTCCCAGGATCATACATATTCATATATTTGATCTCTTTTAGAAATGTGAAAATTAAAGGATTTCTTCCACAGTATTTCAACATTTTATTTCTTTCCTCAGCGCCGGTGTTTGACTATGAAGACATCCCCTCTCCGCTGAGTGAATCTGAGAGCACCATCACCGTGCTGCTGCGCCCGGCGCTGGCCAGAGGGGCTCCGGTCAGGTACAATAACACAACAACACACGCCTGCATCCATCCACTGTGTTTATAGCTGCTGTCAAAACATATTTCTCCAGGCTTGAGGCAGATCGACTGGTGCAGGAATGAGTTCACTAATTTCTACGTTTTGTATGTGTTTTTGGTTTTTAGCGTTAAATAGGGTCTGGTTAACACAAGCTGGGAATATGTTTGTTAATACGTCAGTAAATACCCCACTAGCAGATTTAAACACTGGTTGCTAACAAGTTTCCAAATGAGACGACTAAACGTCATCACGCCCAACATTAGCTGGTTTTAGCTTAGCGGTGGTGACGTGAAGTCATGTGACCGTGCTGTAGTTCCTTCCTGTGACTGTGATTCTTGCAATATTACCCCATTTTCCACTTTTTTTAAGGCTTAAAGGCCAAAATAAATTAATATATTGCACAAAAATTATATAATATTACTATTAAAAAATACATTTCATTACATAAAGGAATTAAGTAAACCAACATGAATATATAGAAATTATGATTTACTTTATTTCTAACTTCTTCTTCTTTGAACTCCTTATATATTTATAAATATCTTTAGATTTATAAGAATGAATAATTTGCAATCTTCTTTTATTTATCTTTTATTTCTTGTATTTAAAAATTGATCAACTTTCACAAAAAGGATAAGTTACTAATTCTTATTCTGATTGAAAACGTAATTCACTTGCTGTTATTTAGTCTATTTTATTTAGAGTACTTTTATCTGTTTTAAAACCCTAACCTCCACCCTTCTTCCTGCAGTGCGTACCAGGTGGTGGTGGTGGAGGAGGATGGGTCTCGGCAGGTGAGGCGGAGGGAGTTGGGCGGAGTCGACTGTTTCCCGACCCCCACCTCCCACAGCGAGGCTCAGGCTAAAGGGGCCCCGCATTACTTCACGGCTGAACTGGCCCCAAGCTCGCTGCCCGAGGCCACGCCCTTCACCGTGGGAGACAACCACACCTACAACGGCTTCTGGAACAGCCCACTGGACCCCACCAAGAACTACCTCATCTTCTTCCAGGCCACCAGCAACTTCAGAGGGGTGAGACCCGGCTTTCTGTTTCAGACGCGCTGATTTTATGTTGCAGCAACCTTAACAATGGATATGATGGGTCGTTTCTCAATGAAAACCTTTCACAAATGAGTAAAATGGAACAGCTTTTAGGAGAGAATAACCATTTGCAGTGTTTCATTTTTTTATCCGGTTGTCATATTCCCTCGTATACAGGCTCTTTAAAAACCAGCAAAATCAGAGCGGTGACACTTGGCTTTCTGTTTAGTAACTTCCTGTTAGAGAGTTTAATTACTTCCTGTTTGAGGATGTACAGTACTAACTTCAACACAACTTAGATTTGTTTCGAGGAAATCTCCAGTACTCTCTGCATTAAAAAGGTGCTGTTTTGAAGAAGGCTTTGGGTTGATTGTGTCCCACAAATAAACCTTAATGTCAACGTGATTTAAAGATTTAAAGGATTCAGAGGCTTTGTTGTCATAGCACAACAACAGCATATGGAAATCCTATGTCTCCGTCTCCTCCAACAACTAACACCTAAGACATAAAAATAAATAGAATTTAGCAAGAACATAATGGTGGAATAATAAAATAACATGTAGAATAACATATGTAACATGGGTAGTAGTCAGTAAAAAAAGGTTAACAGATTTATACAGGTGGAAAATATACTAAACTAATCTCTGACGGATGCAATGTTAATGTATATACACATAATACAAATAAATGTAGTTGTGAAATTAATATGTAAACTATTAACAATAGATATGTTGGATCTTTTCTCAATGAAAGCCTTTCAAAACATGTGGAAATTGTCGAATTGAACAGCTATAGGAGATCATTACAATCTGTATTTTTGCGGTTTGTGTCCGCTTGTCAGATGTCCAAGCTCTTTAAAAACGTTTTTTCTGCAGAGAAAATCAAACACCGCCTTGCAGGCTTAAAGAGATCTGAAAAGGAGTTCTTGAGCAATTGGAAAAGTGGCTGAAGCGTGAATAGGAAATGTGCCGGGCAGTGTGCGTAGAAGCAGAGAAACTTAATGCTGTTTAAATCATTAGGCCCATATGGAGCTCATGTGCTCCTGCCTGGCTGCCTCTTCTCATCTAAATATCACTACCTGATTCTGCAGCAGATGCAGAAAGAGACTGAGGCGAAGTGAGTCTCCAGAGCCAGGAAACCACTGTGAAATATAACAAATAAATATCTCTTATCATGTGGACAACAACAACAACAACAACAACAACAACAAGGAATCAGGGTTAGGAACAATTAAAGTATAGTCAGGAAAAACGAGAACATTATGAGAAAGGTTGACATTTTGCCTAAGGGTACCGTTACTCTATGTGGCTTTTATTTTGAAAAACAACCATCGTCATGCGCTTCTGTAAAGATTCAGTTTCTCGATAGAGCTTTTATTTTGAAAAACACGCCTCTTTGTGAGCTTCCTTTAAGGTTTAAGTAACTCTATTGGGCTTTTATTTTTGTAAAACAATCTTCATCCTCAGATTCTTGCACTGAAGCATATTTGGCTTTTATTTTGAAAAACATGCCTCTTTAGGGGCTTCCTGCAAGGATAAAGTAACTTTATGGGGCTTTTATTTTGAAAAACTCGTCTCTTACTGAGCTTCCTGCAAGTATTAAGTAACAATATGGAGCTTTTATTTTGAAAAGACATGCCTCTATATAAGCCCTAAGACCTAAGCCTCCTGTAAGGATACAGTTACTCTAAATTGCCTTTATTTTGAAAAGCAGGTCTCTTTCTGAGCTTCCTGTCTGTTTCAGAGACGCAGAAAATCTCCTCTTGGTGTCTTTGCAGGAGCAGGAAGCCACAAGAAGAAGCATCATAACCGTGATAATGTCTTCTTCCAAGAATAGTCATAACAATTGGAAGTCGATCCCATAAATGATATGCATTATTTAGCAGACAGCTCGTGCTTTTCCCTCTGAAAAGTGGTCCCTATAGAAGTGTTGCATTTCTATTTAAAGAGTAAAGCAATGTTTTTGTTACTTGCTCATCTATTCCAGTTTCCAGTTTAATTGATTCTATTTACACAGCAGCCAACACAACAAACTGAATATAACAATTCATGATAATTCACTTCTTTGTCCTGCAAAAACTTTCATCCTCAATCTGTTCTTTACCAACAATATTTGTGTTTTCAGCCGCGGAGGGAGGAAGAAAGAAAATAATATGATTGTAAAATTACCCAGGATAAATGAGATTTAGCACGCTCACTGTGGACCGCCATTTAATTGAAGCAGTAATTGCTTTTGGCAGATTTTCCTTCAGTGGGGCCAGTCTCTATTGAGGCAGGACAAACATACACAATTATCAATACTGCTATATATACAATTAAAATATGATAATAATAATAAAGCTTTATAGCACTTTTCATACAACACATGCAGCTCTAAGTGCTTTCCAAAATGACATATCACAAGTTAAAACAAACAACAAGAAATTCCCCACAGATTATTTGTTACGAACTTTTAAAGGTACATGCAGCTACATGTAACATTTGATCAGGTTAATGGACACAAGGAGGTAAAATATATGATAATTAAAATAAAATAAATAATGGTTTCTCTCTGACAGTTAAGACACAAGACAACTGAGTCGATGCAACAATATAAAATATAAAACCCCATAAAACAAAGTGAACATATCGGTACAACAGAAATACAAATAAAAAATAAAAAAGGGACCTATCATGCAAAATTCACTTTTTTATATGTATGTGTACCCGGTGTGTCGGGGAACTCACGCAGCGTCAGAAAATAAAGCCCTCTCTCTTTTCCTCCGTACCCAAATCTCTAAAAACGGGGGAACTACGGAGCTGATCCAGATTTGCGTCCGATACGACGTAATATCTGAAATGTGGACCCACGGGCCAATCAGAAACGTTGCTATCAGAAACAATGCCCGACTGTTTTGGACGTAATATGGTCGGTGTTTACATTAGCATCGCTAACACTCAGAGCTAACCTGTACTGGAGAGCATGTGTGTGAAGAAGCAGGAAGTAAAAAGGAACTCACCTTGTGGTATAACCGGCAAGAGAGAAAGCCTTTGAGCTCCATACTGTTTCAGAGATAATCCTTGATAATCCATGATATGGCGTTTCATCACGGCAGCATTTAGTTTAGACAGTAGCTGCCGGGTCCTTTTTTATTTTTTAATCAATCTTTTAAAGCTTTTTTTTTATAGCTTTATCCCCAAATCAGCCCTTTTGAAACAGGAAGTGAAATAGAGGGATATGAGGCATGGCTAGAATGGGTGATCTGTTTGGTATTTTGAGCAAAACACTTCATAGACATGTTTTTTATATATTTGTATATATCTGAAACCTATGCTATTGCCTAAAAATAGCATGATAGGTGACCTTTAAGCCAATTTTGAATCTCATACCACAGACTTGCAGCATATGGACAATAACAAAATAAATGCATCTGGTCTTCCTCTTCCTCATCACAGAATCTACATAATGGTGATGGTTCAATATTCAAGATGTTGAGTTGTTTTTTTGTTGTGGTAATCTTGTAAAAAATCTTAGATTGGAAGATTCTTGAATAATAATCAATTGTTGTTTTGCATATAGTTCTAAAAAATTGTGTCCAGGGTATCAAGATATTAAAATCATCTTCCCAGAAAGCGCACCATATGAGGAAAAGCAGTAAGGCCACTGCTCTCATTTGTTTTCATTAACTCAGTAGAATTAGTTTGAATCTGCACCTCTTGGACTTGGACTCAGATATTTTCAGATATTTTACCAAATATTACACTTTTATGCTATTTTGATATTACACGATTCCATATTGCCTTTTCTTATCAATTAATTGTGGAGCCCTAAGACTGACGTTGCATTTGGATGAACTCTTTTAAGTGTGCTTTCCTTTTTTATTACACATAGACTAATCCGGCCCGCGGCTTCATGTTATG